TACCTCCTTCCTTTATAAAATACTCTCCTCATGTGGTTGGTATTATGCCTTTCTGGTTCTCATCTTACATCATAGGCTACTCCTTTTCCATCTCTGTTGCTGGTGGCTTCCAAACATCTTGACCTTGGAAGGTTGGCATGTTCCAGGGCCCAGTCTTAAGTAGATTTCTCTTTTCAATCTGTACTTTCCTCTAGAGTGCTCTCATTCAGTTTGATGACTTCAAATACTACCCAATGCCGGGGACCTCAAATGTATTAGCATGTCGCTAGGCTTAACTTCTCTGAGCTCCATACAAGCATGTCCAGCCTCTTCTCTTACATCTCCACTTGGGTATCTAACAGCATCTTAAATTTTTGCTCAATTAAGGATCCCTCACCTCTCCCATTCCTCTCTCAGTATCTTCCATTTAAGTGAATGTTACCACCATTTATCCTTCTGTTGAGGCCACAATTCTAAGAGCCATCTTCAAACGTTTTCCTCCCCCACCCACATCCAGCCATCTGCAAGTCTTGTCATCTCTGTCTTCAAATAGGGGCTCTGTATCAACCCAGGAGGGTGGGGTGGGGAGGGAGATGGGAGGGAATGTCAAAAGGGAGGGGATATATGTATAACTATGGCTGATTCATGTTGAGGTTTGACAGAGAACAACAAAATTCTGTAAAGCAATTATCCTTCAATAAAAAAAATTAATAAATCTAAAAAAAATCAATCTTCCTACTACCATCATTGCAATCCACCTATTCAAGTCATCATCGTCTCTTACCCAGATTGCTGTATTAAGCTCCTAACTGGTCCTTCCTGGTTTCTCTCTTGTCTCTTTACCCCCTAGTATCTGGACCTTGTCTTCTTCCAACCTCATTGTTATTGGTTGCTTCGCACCTCACACTTCCTCCACACAGTCTTCCAGATCCTTGAATGTGCCACCTTCACTCTGACCACAGGGCCTGTGTGTATGCTATTCCTGCTGATAAGAAGTCTTCCTTTGCTGTCTGCCTATTAACTCCTGCTACAGATTTCAGCTCAAGTTTCACTCCTTCATAAAAACTCCTCCTATTCCAGTCCAGAACAAAGTTCCTTTCATAGCTCCCCTCTCAGAACTGTGCTTTTTAATGATGACATTTATTTTACAGATTAGGCACTAGAAAATATTTGCTGAATGAAAGAGTCAATGAAGGAATGGATGACCTTCCCTAAGAATCTCTGATTCCATAAATCACTTATTTGCTATATATATCTCATTTGAACATAAACTGGTGAAGGTAATAATCAGCTAAACAATTCAGTGTTTGGTGGGAAAACACACACACACACACAAGTAAATGTTTGAAGCCAACATGCAGAGAAGATTAACAAAATAAGGGTCTGAAATTTTAACTGCAGGACCAGGGAATTTTTACTTTCCTCAGTAAGCAAATCTTGAAAATATGTATAAAGCTGTGACTTTATTTTTGTACTGTATTTTGCAATGTGTATGGAAGAGGGTGGAGAGAAGTCTGTCTCAAAGTGTCCTGTATTTTTGGTACTCAATTTTCATCTTCCTTATGTTCCTTCTTTCTCAGATTGAGCAGTTGTCCTCATGTGAAACATCTACCAAGAACTTACAGTGGCCAGGCACAATTAAGCTTTGCAGGCAAGCAGAAGTCAGCTTTCTTATCCTTGGAAAATTTAGTCTGAACACACAATGTGAGACATTCAGGTAGAAAAAAACAAAAGACCACACTAACAGCCAGGTTTTTATAGTCATAGCTTTTGGTAGGACTTCACATAATGCAGAGAAGCTACAGGATTTGGGACAGCACAGTTTAAAGACAGCATTTAACTGACTTGAAAACACTGGAAGAAAGGACCAACATGTAAAAGGACACCTTCTTTGAGAGATGAGCTATTCATCTGAGTTCAAGCCTAGACAACGGTGACTTCTGGGCCAGTTACCATCAATTTGACATGTATCAAATATACAAGTGGGTAGTAAAAGTGGAAGTTTAGGTGAAAATGCCTCTTTGAGGGGCTCTTCTCAAATATTTCTCTAGTGTCATGGAAGAAAAGGTGGTCAACTGCAGGGACCTAGATCTAGCTTCTGAAACTTGCTTCTGTATAATTTAACAAAGTAAAACCTTTTAATTTCTCGTGTGGGCTCTTTAACATATTTAAAATATCTTTCAGAGATTTATTTCTCTATCAATACTATTGATGTTTATATTTTTTAACAGATTAGACACAAATAGCTGAAGGTTTATTTCTGAACTATCAGTTCAGTCGCTCAGTCATGTCTGACTCTTTGCGAGCCCATGGACTGCAGCACACCAGGCCCCCCTGTCCATCACCAACTCCCAGAGTTTACTCAAACTCATGTCCATTGAGTCGGTGATGCCATCCAACCATCTAATCCTCTGTCATCCCCTTCTCCTCCCGCCTCTAATCTTTCCCAGCATCAGGGTCTTTTCAAATGAGTCAGTTCTTTGTATCAGGTGGCCAAAGTATTGGAGTTTCAGTGTCAGCATCAGTCCTTTCAATGAATATTCAGGACTGATTTCCTTTAGGATGGACTGGTTGGATCTCTTTGCAGTCCAAGGGACTCTCAAGAGTCTTCACCAACACCACAGTTCAAAAGCATCAATTCTCAGTGCTCACCTTTATAGTTCAACTCTCATATCCATACATAACTACTGGAAAAACCATGATCACACAAGAAAGATCCCACATGCTTTCAAGGTTTGAATGGGAAATGACTATGACAGTTAAATGAGGAGAGGACAGGAAACTGAACAGCCGAAATCAGGGGGTCTATTCCAATTTGGCAGGTGGTTCACAGGCTGTGGAGTCCTGTCTATGAATTAGGTTGGATATACCACAGCCAGACATCACCAGGGGAAAAGCAGTGCCAGATTCCTATCAGCACTGACTTGGGTGTCAATGGAATGATAGTACTGCATTCCGCAAAGTCTTACGACCTTTTTCTTACGTTTGCTATGAGACTAATCTTTGGTTTAAACACATTACACAGAACTCATCTCTAACAGAACCATGCTCCTATTTAGCTAACATTAGGGATGGAAATCTTAAACATTGTAAGTTTACTCAAAAACAGAATCTGACTTCTAAGTCTGCTCCCCACTCACATGACCATAAAGTCTTCCCAAGTGTAGTAGAGATTTTTAGGTGGCAGCAGAGTGAGATGGCATTTCCTATCATAAGCCACATGATTGTCATGGCTTTCAGAAGCTAAACCACCACCTTTGTACAAAAGGAACAAAATGTTAAATTCACTTTCAGTTTGAATGTTTGCCACTGGAAGTTCTAATTCAAGTCAAAATATCCATCTGCACACAGATGCAGGCAGGATGACCAAATAATGATGCTGTATGATGATGGTGTCAACGGCATAGACCCCTTCCTGTGCTGGCTCCCTGGACCACTCAACACCCTCTCCAGATACCCAGAGTATTTTCTGTTTGGTAATGAGGCCAGAAACATGACCAATGGTTCCCACTTAAACCTGTGGCATCTGGACATCCAGATGAAGAGATATTTGATTCTACTCACAGATATCAAACTAAATATGCTAAACTCTAAAGAGAGCTATTTCAGGATTCTCAATTAGTCTTCAAAATGGAAAAGCTGTTTCTGTACTTATGTAAAATATAATATGCCATATTATACAATTTGTTACTTCACCAAGTTTTTAACACGGCATTTTAACACCTCCTCGTCTCTAAATGTGTACTGCAGCAGAAGCCACATTAGGCATCTCTAATCAACATCAAACCCAATCTTCCTGGGGCTCTTACCTTCTTCATATTTGGGTACCTGGGGAAGACAAATGGTGTTTTTGACCCGTGAACAGATACCTGAAGAATCCAAGCTTCACCTGAGTATGAGGGTTTTGGGGATGGGAGAAGAGGAGGAAGGAGAGGGAGGCAAATGTGGGCTGGAAGGAAAGGATGCTTATGAAATAGGGTAAATTATAAATGTGGAGGTAAAGATCAAGCCACTTTCCTAAAAACAAACAAACAAACCCACTTCATCTTCATTTCAAATCCTGAGATAATAGAGGCCAAAAGTGTGAGAGCAGATAAACCCACGACGCTGTGCCCTCCAGGAATAGCTCCTGGAATAGAAGGCTGTTCTGACCATCCCTTACTCTCCTTTCCTGGTTCCTACTCATTCAACTATTGACCTCAGATCATTTTACTTTCCCCCCCAATATGCTCAATATAAGCTAATTTTGTCAACATCAGTAACTCCCCAGATGTCCGTATCTCTTCCTGAACTTCCTTCAGAGCACTATTTTCAGCCTTCTGAAAATACACATCACTCAGGTGTGTAAAAGGAACTTCAATCTTCACCTGTCTAACTCAGGGGTCCTATGTTAATCCTAGTGCTCAGCATATGGGAGATGCTGAATGTATTCTCTGAGTTAAAATGAGTTAAGAAAGATCAGAAATGACTCAAGGGTCCAGAAATAAAGCTGGTATTAAATAACGTATGGTACACTTAGTCAGTGGAATATTATACAGCTACAAAAGAAAAAGAAACCATAAATGAATGAGGGACTTTCTACGTATTGATTTGGAAAGACTGCTAGGATTTTTATTTAAAAGAAAGATTTGCAGGACAGTTCATTTAGTCTGCTACGTGCTAAGCTCTGCATAATGGAACAGTGGAAGGACATGCAAGAAACAAATAAACGTGGTTATTGCAGGCTGGAGTAGGGGTAAATAAAGTAGGTGGGAGAGGGACTTCTCGAGGCATACTCTGTTATACTGTTTGATTTTTGAACTATGTTAACATACTACATATTTAAAACAAATAGTAATGATTGGGAAAAACAAGCAGGCAAGCAAAGACACAAACAAAACAAGTGAGACAAGTTAACTCAGAAGTAAAGAAGAAGAACTTCAGGATTTGGAGGTTTCAAATTTGAGACCAAAGTGAATGTATCATATTCTCCACTTCCCATATTCAATGAGTTGCAATTATCATCAATGTAAATGTCTTACTTGTTAGCCACCAAGCGCATGACAGTCCAGTCCTTTGGAAACATCTCTGGGCGTATCAATATTCGGAACACAGTAAATATCTGCAGCAGGAAATCCTTGGGTAAGGAGGAAAGAGACCATTTTACTGAGTTATTGTAATTATTCACACACACACACACACACACACACACACACACACACAGCTATTGTTACCATTTCCAAAGCACGTACAGAGAAAGGAGCCATACTCAATACTTTACCCAGGAGAAAAAATCATCTCCCTACTCATTCTCAGTGACCAGTTGATTTGCTACCCTTCCCAAACATTCCTCCTTCTTTCTCTTTCTCATGCCTAGTGGAAATGACGCTTTGTTTTTCTCCACAAGCTCTAAACATTTAGGTTTGAGAAATAAAACAGAAAACTACTAACAGATTAGCAGGGAAATGTATTTTCTTTCTTCTATTATAGTATCCTAAACTTCAGAACTTTTCAGTTCAAGAGAACTGCAAAGGGTCTTAGTTCAGTTATGCTTTCTTTTAAGTGGGTGTTAGAATTTAGAAAGCTATGCTCATTGGAAAGCATCTTAGGCAAAAACCCATGTTTCTTAAAGGGCATTCTGAAAATGCAGGATTAATGGGGTGCATGCAGGTTTATAGAATCTGAAGGTCCTAGGCAGAATAAATAGAGAGAGGGACGTGTATGAAGCTGAGCCCAGTGACAAGTCCTTAGAAACTAAGAGTGTGTCAACGTATCCTTCACAGAGATGCCATACTAGGGGGCAGTGGTATTTATGGCGATGGTATCTTTAAGCTGACCACCTGGAAACACTCTTAACAAAAAGCTTTTGTCAGGCATGGAAATACCATTTCTTAAAACATTGTAAGAAACAGACCCAAAGTGCTGGAGCACATTATACTTAACAAGAACTCAAGAAGCTAACACATCACAGGTAATGAATGAAATGGAGCTTGTCCTACTCAAAAAGAGATCGGCTCAATCTAATTATGATTTAGATTTGTTAACTAGAAAACTTAAAGATAGTTTTGTAACTTAATTACTGCTAGGAAAATATATTTCACAATTTCACTGAAGGTAACAGTATTGTGTTGCTTAGAAAAATACCCCAAATATAAGAGTTTTATTTATCAAACCTAACAACACATTAGGTTAAACATGTAAGCCACTTGAATATAAGATTATCATTGTCACCCATATATATCAGTATATACCATATATATCAGTAGACAGAAAGATCCTAAAAAGCTAGAAACATGTGGGAGCTGTGTGTGTGTGTGTGTGTGTGTGTGTGTTTACATATTCTAACAGCTTTGATCAGACTCATAAATATTTTGACAAGGATTTAATTTAGTTTCTTTGGCATCAGCACACATATGCTGATGTGCAGTCCATGCCATGTGGAAACATGCCCACTAGGTCATCTGCCTTTAAACCGTGAGACAGACCCTTCCTGTGTTGGCAGAATTACCACAGTTTCCCAAACACATTCTCCTTCAGGTCAGATAATTTTGGGAAACCTCCCATTCTAGCCCTCCACTGGGATAGGGGATCATTAGCATATCAAAACTATGAGAAGCTCTTTTTAATGCACTTCTAAATCTTTTTTCAGTTTTCCTGTTGAGTCTTCTGAGTTTTGCAGATATGAACACAAATAACCCTTGCAAAAACTGTTTGCATTTACCTTTCAAAGTGTTATACCTCACTTTAGTTTTCTGTCTTGATGTATTTGCTTAGATAGATATTAAAGAAAAATCCTGAAGGTGGGGAGTCACTTGTTTTTCATAGTTTACAAGTACTTTTGTTGGGAGAATGAAATGGCAGCCCACTCCAGTATTCTTGCCTGGAGAATCCCATGGACTGAGGATTCAGGTGGGCTATAGAACATAGGGTCACAAGGAGTCAGATGCTACTGAAGCGGCTTAGCATACACGCACTTGTGTGTGTCTGTGTGTGTGTGTGTGTGTGTGTGTGTGTGCATGGGCCCTCAGTTGCTAAGTCGTGTCTGACTGTTTGTGACCCCATGGACTGTAGCCCAAAAGGCTCCTCTATCCATGGACTTTTCCAGGCAAAAAAACTGGAGTGGATTACCATTTCATTTCCAGTGGATCTTCCCGACCCAGGGATCGAATCCACATCTCTTGTACCTCCTGTACTGGCAGGTGGAATCTTCACCACTGTAGGTTCTAAAATGCTGATGTTTCATCTTTTCTCCTCTAATCAGTAAACAGAATTGGAAAGTGGAAGCAGGACCCCTCACTAGGGAATAGGAGAGAGGGATGTCTGTTGCACAGAGGGAAAAAAATGGCTGAAAAATTGGCTACAGGAGGCAAGATATCTATCTTCAGGACTAGCAACTTTGACTGCTGTTTCGCAGTGCAGGGGACAAAGGCAAAGTTATTCCAGGTGTAGGACTGGCAACATACAAGCTGTTTCTGTACCATCTCATTTTCCTATTCCCATTTATCTCACACAATAAAAGCCATGGCAGCATGGGGCCTCGGGCCAATACCTACGAACTGACATCAACCTTTATTTCCCTGAAGAAAACCTCTCACTATCTCAAGTAGTTTTCTGAGCTTCATCTACCTTTGTGGAACCAAACACATTCATTTGTAGAAATCTTATAATGAAAAATAAAAGAACATTATACTGAGATCAGAAAATCTAGATTTTAATCCTGCCTCTGTCATTGACAAGCTCAATGACCTAGATAATTTATTTAACCTCTCTGGAGTTGAGCTCTGAGGCTTTATAATGCGAGGGCTTGGGCTTTCCTGGTGACTCAGATGGTAAAATAGAGAAGGAAATGGCAACCCACTCCAGTATTCTTGCCTAGATAATCCTGTGGACAGGGGAGCCTGGTGAGCTGCTGGACATAGGGTCCCACAGGGTCGGACACAACTGAAGCGACTTAGCATGCATGCATGCATTGGAGAAGGAAATGGCAACCCACTCCAGTGTTTTTGCCTGGAGAATCCCAGGGACAGAGGAGCGTGGTGGGCTGCTGTCTATGGGGTCGCACACGGTCAGACATGACTAAAGCGACTTAGCAGCAGCAGCAGATCGTGAAAAATCTGCCTGCAATGCATGACCCAGGTTCAATCCCTGAATTGGGAAGATCCTCTGGAGAAGGTAATGGCTACCCACTCTAGTATTCTTGTCTGGAGAATTCCATGTACAGAGGAGCCTGGTAGATGACAGTCCATGGAGTCTCAAAGAGTCAGACATGACTGAGTGACTAACACTTTAAAGTCTCTTGTAGTTAGAAGAGACTAAAAATAATTAATATGGTCATTCATCTATTCATGCAGTATACAAAACTTTTTATATTTCTAAACTGAAGGTTAATGTTTCGGCAGATGGTAACACAAGCATATTCCACTGTGGTACTTGCACAGGTTCAGCAAGTATTCTTGTCAACTGCCTTGTGACAGGTTACATTTCAAACTCAGTTCCCATAATCTAAAGCACTAAGACCTGAATGTGAGGCTCACCATCCCATCCCTTCCCAAATGCAAGGGTATTTCCTTGTCTATTCTAAGTACTTTTCACTAAACAAGACTGTCTGCACAGATAAGTGAAATTATTTTGCACATATAAACAATAAGTAACAGATTCTTTTTAAAATTTAAAAAAAGAACACTGTGGCAATCATACTCTGGTTTGGATAGCACACAAAAATAAGTGTTTCATATGCCATTATTTTAAAATTGGCAGCCTGGCAGCAGTTTCTTTTATGTTTGTTAACTTCAAATAGCACAACACAGGTATTTAGTTGCATTACTGGTTATTATTCAAATAAGGCATCAAATTAAAAAAAATAGGGAGGAGTTATTTCTCAGCAACACTTCTTTTCTGCAGTGCGAGGGGTTCAAAGAAGGTTCAGGTGAAAACGTTCACAAACAATAAAAGTCTCACATTCAAATAGAAAAGAAAGCAGAAGTAATTGTTATGGTGTTAGATTATCATTAACATTTATTCATTCATAAATATTGGGTGCTTTAATATGTGCTAGGCACAGTAAAAGAGACTGGGGACACCTAGTGGGATAAAATATATTCTTTCCTTTATTCATGCAAGAATATTTACACAGTATCTGCAACAGGCCACACCATGATGAGTTAGTTGAATGTGACCTTTGCCTTCCTCAAACTGTTTTGTGGGAGGGATGAGTGCTCATCTGTTTAAGGATATGTTACAATCTAGGATAAATCTGTGGGCCAGTTATTTCACTGCTTCCCTGATAGCTCAGATGGTAGACGACAATCCATGGAGTCTCAAAGAGTCAGACATGACTGAGTGAATAACACTTTAAAGTCTCTTGTAGTTGAGTGAATAACACTTTAAAGTCTCTTGTAGTTATAACACTTTAAAGTCTCTTGTAGTTAGAAGAGACTAAAAATAATTAATATGGTCATTAATTGCAGTGACTATACTGCAGATCACTGCAACTGACCTGCATTGCAGACTTGCAATGTGGAGACCCGGGATCAATCCCTGGGTCAGGAAGATCCCCTGGAGAAGGAAATGGCAACCCACTCCAGTATTCTTGCCTGGAAAATCCCGTGGATGGAAGAGTTTGGCGGTCTAGGTGGGCTATAGTCCATGGTGTCACAAAGAGTCAGGACTGAGGGACTAACACTTTCACTTTCACAGGTATTTCACACCAAGGGAAGGGCACCTCCCAGCCCCAGAGGCAAGACAGAACACAGGCTCACCCAGGCTGCAAAACGGAGTGCTCAGAAATGGGGCGGGTAGGTGGGTCAGATCAGCTCAGTTGCTCAGTAATGTCCAACTCTTTGCAACCCCATGAACTGCAGCATGCCAGGCCTCCCTGTCCATCTCCAACTCCCAGAGCCTACTCAAACTCATGTCCATTGAGTTGGTGATGCCATCCAACCATCTCATCCTCTGTCGTTCCCTTCTCCTCCCGCATCAATCTTTCCCAGCATCAGGGTCTGTTCTAATGACTCAGTTCTTTGCATCAGGTGGCCAAAGTATTGGAATTTCAGCTTCACCATCAATCCTTCCAATGAACATTCAGGACTGATTTCCTTTGGGATAGATGGGTTGGATCTCCTTGCAGTCCAAGGGACT